TCCTCAGTTTCCAAAGTGACCGAATAAATTATCAATTGGTCGTTGAGTTTAAACTCGCAATGACTTCCATGTCGGAACGTCACGAAAAAATTTTTGTGGACGCAGATGACAGCTGATTTTATGCAATTATCAAGTAAATAGTACATCCATTTTTTGAACGATTCAGCCCTTGGAGCAAGATCAGGAGGACCTTAATAAAAAGCTTATACATTTTCAATACCAATTTGAGTTGAATCTTACATGAAAGGTACGGACTAACGAGTCTTTCTGCCACAACCTGGTTGGCTGGAGTTCCTTGTCTTGTAGATGACGTTCTATGATCCACTGTAAACAGTAGAGTTTGCCAGAGCTCCGGGAGCAAGAAACATGGCTCTGGCTCGAAAACTCCGCCTCGAACTGTTCGAGAACTAAATTAATTTAGATAAATAAGAAATAATCGACATGTCACTCACTCGCAAAAAATATCTTCGTCACCAAGCTTATATGATAACCTAACAACTGCATTGTCACTTAAGAAGAATACAGATTTTATTGAATTCTTGGAGATAAAATTTCCAGTAGGAATCATAGTGATTTGCCTGTTATTCATCTGAATACGGAGAGTAGCCATTGTTTGAGATATTGGTTCTGAAAACAGAAAGTAATCGTCTTTTTAAATGGCTATTACGCATATCATTTTCACCCAAAGTTATAAACTTTTCTAGATTGAAACAAGAAAATGTAATGAATGAATATATACATCGCTCATTGATTTAGTGAGTAATTCATATATATTGAAGAAATGAAAACAGAAATCAAATATTTTACTATGAGAAACGACAAAGCACGCGATGCGAGCGATTTCTCGTCTTCCTCTGCGTATCTTTCAACGCGCGTCGACGCGTTGAGCTAGAGTGGAAGGGGACGCGCGCCGGCGCGTTGAACTAGAGTGAATAGGGGATGAAAGTGGCGCGTTAAGCAGATACGCAAAGGAAGACGAGTTATCGCTCGCATCACGTGCTTTGTCGTTTCTCATAGTTGAATATTTGATTTCTGTTTTCAGATCCAATGTCTCAAACAGTAGCATTACTCCGTCTCCGTATTCAGAAGAGTAACAGGCAAATCACTATGATTCCTACTGGAAATTTTATCTCCAAGAGTTCAATACAAAATGTATTCTTCTTGAGTGACAATACTATCGTTAATTTATCATATAAGCTTGGTGACGAAGATATTTTTTGCGAGTGAGTGACATGTCGATTGTTTCTGATTTATCTTAATTAATTTAGTTCTCGAACAGTTCGACATGAAATTTTTGAGCCAGAGTTATGTTTTCTGCTCCCGGAGCTCTGGCAGGGAGAGAGAGAGAGGAAGTGAGTGAATGTGGAAATGAAAAATGATTTTTCTAATTTACTNTGAATCGGAGAAGAAGGATAAAGCTGCTTTACTAGCTGGATAACTGCTCAAATAAGGAAGTGGTCTCCATCCCTATAACCATATGTTATAAATAATTCTCATTAGAACAACATTTCTATAGAACTTACAGTCATAGATGAGACATTCACAACAACTCCTTTGTCCCGTTTCAACATTCCCGGCAAAATTAATTCCAAAATCTTAAAAGAACTAAATGTTTGAGGAATGTTTACAATGA